TCTAGTTGAGTCCTTTTCAGCTACATTAGAAGAAGTGGCTTACTCAGTAAGTAGTTGACTATAGACATTTAGAAATGAAATTAATTTCCTTTTAGATAATCCTTACCCCTTGAAAAAAAGGGAAAATTAATTGGCATGCTGTTCTTAGTGAAGTATCTGGCTGACTCTAGCAGTCTTCTAAGATAATTAGGTATCTTACCATAAGCCAGTTTTCTGACACTTGAAATTATGCAGAGTATGTAGACACTAAGAGATTTCAGAAAGGGTTTATTTGGAGTATACGTGTCCTTCTCCATGATATGTAAAGCAGATGAATCAGATTTTGCTGATCAAATATATGAAAAACTAAACAATGCATCAGAATAAGTTGAAGTTTAGCCTTCTTGAGAGTTGAAAATGAAATAAAGCCTCTGGAATGATCTGGTTTTAACTTAAGGTTTCCTACAGCACCAAAAGTAGGTGATGGTGATGGGATGCAGGCAGCATGTAATAAGCATAAATGTACTTTTCCAATCATTTTCTCATTAAAGTTAGTTTCCTGTGCTATAGCAAAGTGTAAAGCTGCATATACACAGACATTTAAACAAAAAGCCTGTATCGCCAAAGGTAGTGAAATTCAGTGGTAGCTGGGTGCCGGAATGCTTCTGAGGATTGGACTATTCACCATGTAATAACAGGACTTTCAAAAGCTGGCTGCCAGTATCCTGTTTGTCTCTTATTCTGAAGTGTTACATGAAAGGCAAGAAATTTACTTCTCACTAATTTTCAAAAGTTTGAAGCAGTACCTTGAGCAAAGATGATGAAACATTTTGAATGCAAATATTGAATTTGGTTGCTTGGTTTTTATCATGGCAAACATGATTGTGTATGTACTTGAAGCTGGTAACTTTTGTATAAAGCTTTCTAAGTGAAGCACCAGTAATAGTATCTCAGGAGCTGAGAATAAAGATGGGAATCTTCTGCATTTTTAATGTAAAAATAGAACTATAAGGTACATGGGTGGGGTTTTTTTCCATTTTGACACAGCTTTTCAGCCATTACTCTTCTAAAAACCTTTTTACAGTTCACTCTTTTTCTTCTCCAGTATTCTTGAAGCCTTATTGTTACAGAGCCTTGGCTTTGAAAAATTAGATCAGTTATTACTGGAAATATGAATTCTGTAACGAGCTTGATTGACAGGGTTTCTTTCAGGCTTGTTGGAGGCAATCTGTACTCACTGTGGAATAAAAAACTAAGCTGCTACAGATTTTCTTTCATCATGGTACAAAACCCAGTATTGGTTTAATACTGTTTTAGTAGTTCATTTTACACTGTTAACCTGCCAGTGTACTGTCTAATGGGACAGGCAAGTATCTTATATGAATTGGCAATTACAACATGGTAACTGGTGTGTTTCGTTAGGTAACTGTCTTGTATATTGATGCTTGCTAGGATCTGATAGTTCACGTGAGGGATATTACTCATCCAGAAACCATCCTCCAGAAAGCAACTGTTCTGTCAGTTCTGAAGAATCTTAATCTTCCCAGCCATCTGTTTGACTCAATGGTAGAAGTTCATAACAAAGTGGATATGATAGAAAGGTAAGCGGGAGTTGCTAAGTGTACTTACACATTTCTTATGTTCTGGAAGCTCTTTAATACTTAGTCTAGAGAAGAGCTGCCACACTTCTGAGTACATTTAATAGTGTTTCTCAATCTTTTACATATGTAACTGTGGTCATAAAAAGAATTAATTATCTTTTCATTATGCAAGAAATCACTTGAGTCATAGAAGAAGTGGCCTCTGTAGGAAGATGCCGGTATAAAGTAACGCAGTTAAATTTTCCATGCTTGGAATATTTTTGCAACCTAATCTTCATGAGAAAATGTGCTAGCAATTGTTACCTTTCAGATATACACCCACTGAAGAAAATGCTTTAGCCATTTCTGCTCTACATGGACATGGTTTAGAAGAGCTGAAAGAAGAAATAGAAAAAAAAATTCTGACAGCAACAGGGAAGAAGATTCTGACAGTTAACGTCAATTTAGAGGGGCCTCAGCTAAGGTAATTAGTTTTGAATTGTAAGAAGGACTTAAGAGAAATATGAAACTCTTTGTCTTGCATGTCTTAAAATTTCCAAGTCGTATCATACTGATTTTAATCTGCGTTAAGAATTATAGAGATAATTTATCAAAGTTTTCAGACCTATGGAGAAAAAATATCCATGTTAGATACCCATGAGTCTGTTTCTGAACGTGTCCTTCACAGAGTTCTGCATGTTAGTACATAAAACTTACTTCCTGAAAGACCGTGCCGCTGGTCCTGGAGCCAGATTTCTGACAAACACGCAAATCTGAAAGATCTATGAAAACACTGTACCCTATTTCCAAATAGCAAGTAGCAAATGAAAAGTGAAGCACTTCATCTTTTGAAGTGTTAAATTACCTAGATTGGAACATGTTGACCTAAAACAAAGATCACGTTTTATGTAGTAGGTCATACCTTTAAGACACTAATATGCTTTTACTTTTACAGTTGGCTCTATAAAGAAGCAACAGTTCAGGAAGTAGAAGTCATGCCTGAAGATGGCACAGCCAGGGTGAAGGTGATAATCGGCAATTCTGCTTTTGGCAGATACAAAAACCTCTTTCCTACCAGTAAGATTTTTATGCCATGAAACTGCATCCTTGTCTAGGAAAAGAAACTGATCTCATTAAGAGGATGTGAAATGAAGTTAATGACCTGTTAGCCTGCGTGTTGAAGAGTGTATTTCTTCCCCAGTTGATGTTTTTGATGCATTTTGGAACTGGACACTGTTTCTGAAACCTTCTGTTTGGAAACAATAAGAGCTTTGAGCTTCATTTGGTCATCAAGTGCAAGGACAGCACTAAATTTTTAGTGTTAAAACATTTTAATTAGAGCCATATGTTGGCTATAAGCTGTGGACCTCAAACACATGGAAATCACTGGATGGCATCTGAATTAACTGTCGGAAAAGTACCAGGTTTCTTACATCATATAAATTAAGCTTTGTACCCCATTTTTCAGAATAAAATAACATTTATTATAGTTGTCTCAGATGGTCCTTGGAAAATGAAAGTTAATGAACAAGATGTTGTTGGCATATATAAATAATACAGATAGGTTTGTGTATTCTGCTTGAATGCATATTTAAGTAAAATTACTGCCATGTCTTATTGCAGTGAAGCAAAAAAACAGGGATTTGTATATATAAGCAATAAATGAAGGTAGCTATGAACATCTTTTACCCATACGGTTTTCTTGCCTACAGTAATTTATCCACAATGCTTATTACTGTGTTGGTTTTAAAGAGAAAACATTTAAGTTACAGTAAAGCATGGATTTTGTGTGAAAATTATTTCATGAAGAAAAAAAAAAAAACCAACCATTACCTGAGTTATGAATTACTACTGGGACCCAATAAAACAATCAGTATCACAGAACAGAGACACAAAACTATTTAAGTCCATACAGCACAAAGAGATCAAGTTTTATTACACAGAGGAACAAGCCACCTGAGGGCAGATAGGCAGAAAAACTTTCTGAGTATGTACAACATAACACGTCATGCAGGCAGTGACTCTAAAAAAAAAAAATTAAAACTGAATGACTACTCAATATGAAGTGCATAGAGGTAAGAACAAGGATAAAAAGCATCGTAAAAAAGCATTTAGAAAGTGTTCTTCATAAATGGAATGTTTGTTTTTTTACTCCTACGTACTCTGCAGTTGCAGGAGATTGCATGAAGAGGTAGCTTGTTAGCCTTTTGTGCTGAGAAGTGTGGGGTGAGTTTGGTCTGATGTCAAGTAGCAGTTGATTTCAGCCTTCTGCAAATACCTACTGCAAACATGAACATCTTGCGAGACATTTGAACTCTGCTTTTGCATATAAAGTGCATCCAAAAAGTGAGGTATATTGATGAAACTGCATAGAGAACTTCATACAATGCCTGTTTTAGTCCTGCCATTTCTCTTACCTTCATGATCATCTGTTATTGCACAGTTCATTTAAAAAAATAGGGTTAATATGCAATGGCAAATAACATAAAATCTTTAGTTTTTACATAACCAAAAAATACCTGAGAGAAAAAATAACTAGAGCTACTAAAATAGGTAAATAAAAGACCAGTTGTGAAACCCCAAATGAGCATGACAGAAGCCAAGAGTCTATTTTTAGAGCAGTCTGAGTTTAGATAAGGAATTTGTTTCACATGTGTTTATTTTCAATTTAAGGCATATTCTGGCAACATCTAATAAAACATATTGCATTACCACAGATAAAACTGTCTGGGGGCTTAGTTTTGCTATCTTTATCACTGCAGAACTGGCATGAGCGATAAAAAGAGTAGGTGCTCAAATACACACACCTCTTACAAATGATAAAGGCTTTTGTGACTGCCCTGTTGGTAAAGTGGCTCACAACCGGCACTCAGCGCACAACAGTACAGCTGCTTCTAGATCTCTAATGTTAATACAGTGTATGTAAAAACCATGTCAAATAGGATTGTCAGTACAGTACCTTTGATACAACAAAAATATTTTTAAAATGTTCCTTATGTATATTTAACACAAACCATGAAAACAGACAAGTCAGTTTCACAGTGATATAAAATGCTGAGAATTGTGGTTGCAAGTAGTGCAGACTATATTTACAAGAAAGATAAAATCTTATCACAAAATAATTCATGCAGCTACTGACATATTTCTCCTTGCTCATATGTAAAATAAAATAGGATTAAGTTCCTGGGACTTTCAGTATTGCCAATTGCTACAGAATCTGAGTACCTGAGTAAATTATACCTATACCACAGTTCTCTAGAGACTTCAGCAAGGTCTGCCTGCTCTCTTTTTAGTGAAAAGGCCTTGAAACCCCGATGATGTTGAGAGCACTTCTCTTACTGAGTCTTTAAAACATCCCTGGTTGAAGTTAACTGGACCTTTATGGGATCCAGGATGTTTAAGTCAGGACACATTAAATGCAGACAAAGCCTTTTCAGCTTTTCACAGCTTAAGAAGCCAAGAATGAAATGCTATTTGTTCCAGCCCCTTTACTTTGACAGTGTAATGGAGGATTAATTTTTGTGTTAAGTTCTATCACATCTTTGACAAAATCACCGTTTCCTACGAAGTCTCCAGCAATGATGTTAATACATTCTTGTTTTGGTCCTGGATACTGCTGCTTTATCCAGATTTTCAAGCATGGAAGACTCTGGAGTGTCATTTTCTTCAGTGATCCAAATGGATGCATGAGAATATACCTTAAATTTTCAGTAAGGTTAATCCCCGCTACAAAGAATTGTTCTGAAACAAAAATCAGAAGGCGACACATTAAATATTCCTTTGAGAACAGAAACTGCTCAGCATTGCATTAACTCCGGTTCTCACCCATCTGGGAATCACTAAAATACTACCTTTACAACCTTTCCCTAGAACTGTTCCAGCAGACTGTCTCCCCTTGTTGCAGCTGCATGCCGTAGTAGATAGTTACGGCCCCAAGCTCGGTTACTGAACCATTCCATGTAGCTAAATTTATCTAAATTATTCGTTGCAGACTAAAGGTTCTCCACTAGCTCGTCCTCCTTTGTGAGTCATGTTTGCTTCTATAAGGGTTGCTTCCGAATGCCTAGCCTTGCCCCGTGATGGCCGGGCTTTTTCTCCATGGGATCACGCAAGTGAAGCAGCCGACTATGATGGACATACTTGCACCAACAAAGATGGACACTGTGCTCGCCCGCGGGTGAGCAGAGCGCTCAGCACGCACAGGGTGGTTTCATCCCGTCACGCTATCATCGCCCAGATTCCCGTCTGTTTCGCACGGCTCTACGCGCCCCTTGCTTGCCCCGAGCGACTCCCTGCGCCTACCTGGGCGGCCCATCCGCTTCATGCGCTCCAAGTACTGGATAAGAGCGCGGGTGGCCGTTTTGTTTCCCCACCAGTATGGGATCGCGGGCCACAGCTCGCAGTGCTCCTCCACTTCCACGTCCTCTTCGTAGGAGACAATCACCTGATGGCCACGCTGCCACATGGCCCTCAGCGTCGGCAGCACCTAAGAGAAAGCATGCCCAGGTTGAAGTCAGCAACGCAGCAGTGTTCCCAAAGTTCAAATACGGACATGGGAAGCTGCCTTGTCAGAGAGGCACGGGTTCAGTTTAAACAACGCTGTTAAATATACAGCCAAACAGGTCGTTGGCTGGGCTGCAAGCTGCGGGGGCAATAGGAGCCTGTGAAATTCAGCCGATTCCTCCTTTCCTCAAACAATTCGGCTATGATGAAGTACATCACTCAAGGTCTTACGCCTGTGCAACAAGAAACCGTCTCCGCATCAGCCCTCGTACACATATCGCTGCTGAGAATTTGCTGGGAGAGGCCTGTCAGCCCGTTCAGCAGAGCGAGGAAGGAGGGGGGCAAAGCCCAACGCCCAGCTCTCGG